CGCTCCTCACTCCTCCTCGTTTCCCCCGACGACTGCTCCCTTGCAGACTCTCCACATGGACGTGTGGGGCCCAGCCCACGTCAATGGACAGAGCCGCGAGATATACTTTCTGCTAGTTGTTGACGACTACTCGCGTTACACCACGGTCTTCCCCTTGCGCAACAAGGGGGGGGTCCCTGCTGTCTTGATCCCTTGGATCCGCGCTGTCCGTCTCCAGCTCCGCGAGCGATTCCGCATGGACCTTCTGTCCTGCGTCTGCACTCTGACAGAGGTGGTGAGTTCTCCTCCGACCTCTTGCAGGACTTTTGTCAGGGAGAGGGCATTGTCCAGTCGTTCACGCTTCCAGCCTCCCCACAGCAGATGTCAACGGGAGTGTTGTGTGGCCCCGTCCTCGCTTGGGCGGAGCCGATCTCGTGGTCGGATGTGCGGGGGTTGCAGCCGACCTACAGCAGTGGGCACGGGGGCCACTGCAAGGGCGCTGAGCTGGAGGGCGCCTGGCTGGAGGGCGCTGAGCAAGACGGCGTCCTGGGAAGCTGGCCGCCGACCTGGGCATCGGCACAGTTGCCCGGGCGCCTGGTTGACGTCGTGGACGTCTGCACGACGTCCTGGGAGGCCAGACACCGACTTGGGCGTCTGGTTGGCGTCCTAGGAGGCTGGGCGCCGCCCTGGACGTTTGCAAGGCGTCCTGGGCGTCTGGACGCCGACCTGGGGGGTTTAGACGGTGTCCTGGGCGTCTGGACGCCGGACTAGAGACGCCGGGCAGAGGTGGCCGGCTACGGACTGCACTGGTCGACCAGGCGTGGTTGCCTGGTCGACTGGGATACCCTAACGACGTGCGCGAGTGTCGCCGGGGTGACTTCTGCGAGGCCGACCTCGGGGGTGGTATCCCGAGGTCGACGTGGCTGGTGGGCGCAGTCGCTGGCGTGGAGTCTGCCAGGCGTCTGCGCTGTGCTCGTGACAAGGTGTGGAGCGCCAACCAGCTGCACGCACCTGCGAAGCAGGTGCACCGTTGTCCTGCGGGTGCAACGCTGTGCAGCCGCCTTGCTGCAGCGTTGGCACACCGTGGACTTGCAACGTTGGCGCATCGCTACTTTGCAACGCTGGAGCATGCGAACGCTGCTGCGCTGGAGCGCGGTCGACCGTGCTGCGCTGGAGGTCGACCAGCAGCCTAGCTAGCTCTGATGTAGTCTGTGTTGCCAATGTTGTCGCAACCATTGTTGTGAACATTTTTTAGTGGAACTCTTAACAATTCTCCTTGTGAACTAGCAAGGAGTGAGCGCACAAGGAAACGACTAAGGAACGAACGCAGAGATCACACGAGCACCCATGCCTAGCCCGTAGTCTAGCTCCCGTTGTAGTAGTTATCTCCGCAGCAGAATGGGGTTGCTGAGTGCCGCATTGGCTTAGTCATGGAGGTGGCTCGTACCTCCATGATCCATGCGGCTGCTCCCCATTTTCTGTGGCCGTTTGCGGTCCGGTACGCCGCGCATCAGCTTAACCTCTGGCCCCGTGTCTCCTTGCCGGAGACCTCTCCTACACTGTGTTGGACGGGGCATGTTGGCGATGCGTCGGTGTTCCAGGTCTGGGGCTCTCGTGGCTTTGTCCATGATACTACCGCGGACAAGCTCTCCTCTCGCACCATTCCCTGCGTCTTCCTTGGCTTTCCCCCTGACGCGCCTGACTGGCAGTTTTACTAGCCCACCTCGCGCCGGATTCTGCCCTCTCAGGACGTCACGTTTGACGAGTCGGTTCCCTTTTACCGTCTCTTCCCCTACCGCACTGCCCCTCTCCCCCCCCCCCCCGCCGCTCTTCCTCGCTCCAGGTCCCCCTCCGGTAGACCCCCTCCCCCCTCAGGGTCCTGCTCCTTCAGGTGTGTCTCAGGTAGACCCACTCCCCTTGGCTGAGCCTGTCGAGGTCACTAGCGACTCTGGTGCTGCTGGGGGTGGTGCTGCTAAGGGTGTGGAGCCTGGGGGTGTTGAGCCTGTGCATGTGGAGCCTGGGGGAGCTGAGCCTGTGAGTGTGGAGCCTGGGGGTGCTGAGCCTGGGGGTGTGGAGCCTGGGGGTGCTGCGCGTGGGAGTGTGGAGCTTGGGGGTGCTGCACCTGGGGGTACCGAGTCTAGGGGTGCTGAGTCTGGGGGTGTGGAGCCTAGGGGTGCTGCATCTGCTGGAGGTTCTCCGGGTGTCTTGCCGCAGCGATCTAGCCGACGGGAGCCTCTCTCACCACAGCAGCTGCGCGAGTGGTTTGCTCAACGCACTCGCTTTCGGAGTCGCGTTGTTGGAGCTGGGGACACTGCTGCTGGAGGCGCTGGTGCTGGAGGTCTTCGGGTTGCTGGTGCTGGAGGGTCTGGAGCTAGAGGTACTGGGGCTGCTGGTGCTGGAGGTCCTGGGGCTGCTGGTGCTGGAGGTTCTGGAGCTGGAGGTACTGATCCTGGAGGTGCTAGTGCTGGTGGTTCCCCAGGTGCCTCGCCGCAGCGGTCTAGCTGGCGCGAGCCTCTCTCACCACCGCAGCTCCGCGAGTGGTTGGCTCGGCGTACCCACCTTAGGAGTAGCGCTACTAGGGCTAGAGGCGCTTGGGCTGGAGACTCTGGAGCTGGAGCCGCTGGAGCTGGAGGAGCTGCCGCTGGAGATGCTGGAGCTGGAGGCATTGCCGCTGGAGACGCTGGAGCTGGAGGTACTGAGGCTGCTGGCCCTGGAGGTGCCGGTGCTCCTGGAGCTGGGGTGCTGCTGCTGGAGCTGGAGGTACTGGAGGCGCTGGAGGTGTCGGCGCTACTGGTCCTGGAGATGCTCGTACTGGAGGTATTGGAGCTGCCGGACCCGGAGACGCTGGAGGTAGTGATGTGCTGGAGGCGCTGGAGTTGGTGGTACCGGAGGTGCTAGAGCTACTAGTCCCAGGAGCGCTGGAGGTACTGCTGGTACTAGAGGATGGTGGTACAGCACCGCGACGGCTGTTCTTTGCTTCGCCGTCACCGTCATCTCTGCCACCGTCTGACTCCATGCTTCGCCAGGTTCTTAGCCTCCCGTCTTCTACTGGCCTCCCGTTACAGCCCGGCTCCCCACTGCCTGCGCCTTCCCCGTACGCTGAGCATTCAAACTCGCTTACAGAGCGTCGTGAGCCCGCGTAAAGTCGTGCCTTGCCTGTTCACGCTGTTTGCACTGCTCGTCGTGTTCCTCGTCCGCATCTTCCTCCTGTTCCAGGCACGCACACTATGACACTTCGTCCTTCCTCTGTTCCACTACGCGTCCCCTTGCCGTCTCCTCCGGCCTCGTCCCTTCCTAATGTTCCTGACCCTGCGTCTGACCTCGTTCGTGCTGCCATTCCCACTGTCACGCGTCTGTTGGCCACTGTTGTCACTGACCCTTCCTTTGAGTCTGCTGCTGCATCTGCCTTAGTCGCTGAACTTGTTACCTTTTCTGCTCTGTGTCATCTTGACTACGCTGCTAGTCTTGTTGTTGTTGTTTTTTTTTCTTTCTTTCTTTCTTTTTTTTTTTTTTTTTTTTTTTCTTTTTTTTTCTTTGAGACGCAAATATATTATCAAATGAAGATACATCCACAATTGTAACTGTAATCTTGGAGGGCACAAACTTCCTGGTGAGAATTGTCTTCCCGGTGTAATAGCTCCTCCTTATTATTCAACAAGAGAATTCTCACCGGGAAGTGGGTTTTCCGTGTGAAAACAAAGGCAGATGGAACCATCGACAAATTTAAGGCACGCTGGGTCGTACAAGGCTTCGACCAAGAGCATGGACGAGACTTCGTTGAAGCATTTGCGCCGGTCAGCCGACACACCTCACTACGGATTCTCCTCGCGATAGCCGTCATGAAGCGGAAGAAGCTCCGACAAATCGATGTCGCCAACGCCTTTCTGTATGCTCCCGTTGATGCAGAAATCTTCGTCGAGCAACCGCACGGCTCAAACGCAGATCCTTATCAAGTCTGTCAGCTGGTGAAGTCCTTAAACGGTATCAAACAGACTCCGAGACTGTGGCAGCAGTACCTTCATGCCCGGCTAATACACATCGGATTCTGCCAATTACCGCACGATCAAGGAATGTACCAACTTACAAAAGCTGCTGACTACATCCTACTCATCGTTTACGTAGACGATTTACTCTACATCGGCTCGACTGACGGCATCACAACCTGGTTCGAAGGGGAGCTGCAGCGGGATCTCACGCTCACCGTTTCGTCTACCGTCACACAATATCTGGGACTCAACATACAAGAAGAAGAAAATGCCATATATCTCAGCGCCGCAAAATACGCTGACACCATAGCCAAGCGTTTTGGACTAACTCCAGCCTCCATCACCACGCCTTATCGCTACACTAACGGAAATCGCAAGGAAACCACCGTTCTGCTCAAACCCGCCGGCATACGCAACTATCAACAAAAGCTGGGATGTTTAATTTTCGCAGCCGTCACCTGCCGACCGGACCTATCGTACTCAGCGAGCCAACTCGCCACCTACCTCAAGAAGCCTGAAGCAGAACACATGGCGGAGCTCGACCGCGCTCTTCACTACCTCGTCAGTACTCCGATGACCGGCCTGACCTACTACAAAGACGGAACCTCGACACCTAAGCTAATCGGCTATGTAGACGCTGATCACGCCGGCGACACAGACAACAGGCGATCGCGCACCGGCTACATCTACCGACTTGAACCCATTGGGCCTATCTCCTGGCAGTCGAGCAAGCAGGAACTAATCGCCCTCTCCTCAGCTGAAGCTGAGGGCATGTGACTGCAAAGACGAACTAATCGCCCTCTCCTCAGCTGAAAACCCGGCATCCGACTCCTTTGCAGAAAACACCAGAAAGGAGATAGTAGTTCAGTAACAAAGCCTGTACCACAGCAGTTACATTGTACGATTCTAGCAGCAGGAACCCCGCACATCCTCCCCACTTGCAAACAGCCAAGGGGCGTCAACAAGCACATGGAAGCTCAAGGGGCATCATCAAACACATGGGATCACTGGCTTAGGTTCCTCTTGTGACATCTGCTAGCGGACATCTGTGTAAGACAATGGAATTCGTGACATCACAGCTTTACAGCAAAACGCAGCCCTGCCTTTTGCATCTGGTTCATCTCTTGCCTTCACCTCACCTCCCTCCTGCCACTCCCTCTCACGCCTTCACCTCCCTTCTGCCACTCACCTAGCCACTGGTCGTCCCACTCTTCTTGCTGTTGCTTCTGCCGGGGCATGTGAGCTTGTGGGAGGGCCAGTGCGCCTTTTGGCACTCTCTGCTGCAATACGCCACCTTGCCACACCCAGAGCAGTTCCTCAGCCTCACACCAACACCCTCCACCTTTTCACACCCCGCTGCACCACACACGCGCCTGTCTTGAGCATTTGATGTCGTTCTTGCTTTGGAAGTGGCTGCTGCAGCAACGCTCAGTGCAGCGACATCGGCATCAGATGAGGGTGATGCAATGGCAGAGTTTCCTGAAACGGCCAAAGAAGGGGCAGCAGGGTGGTAGCACGGCTCCCCCAGCAGCATCTCTCGCAGACATGCCACCAGATTGACTCCCCCAGGCCACGCCTTCAGATAAGCCGGCTCCTCCCCCTTCTTGGCCTTCTTGCTAAAGCTGCTGCCACTACTGCCACACGCACTGGAAGTCCCATCCCCGTGTTTCATGTCTTCAAAGAACCTGGGAAACCGAGAGCACAGGTAAATATCATTGGCCTCTTTCACCCGGGAACTCACAACCTCCTTCCTTGCCCGGCTGCCACTACATGTCTCCCCGTCCCCCCTCATGCCAGAGGTCGTTGCCACCATGAGCCACGACTGTACCTCCTCCAACAGAATCTTCGAATCCCCCTCACCATCCCCACCGTTTCTGCCCTCCATGCCTTCTCCCCAATTCCCACTCCCAACCCTCCTCCCGCCCGCCTTCCCTTTCGCCCCATTGCCTCCTTTCTCCGTTCCCGAATTCTTCCCACCTTCCGTCCCACTCTGTTGAACCAGGGGCGCGGCACACATAAGCGCCAAGCTGAGCGAAAAAGCAACTGGCATTTGCTCGACACGTTTTCGTAACACATGCGCACTGCTGCTGCCCGGCTTGCCAGACACGCTGTAGCGAGGCACGTCCAGTGGTGAGTCCAAATCCAGGCGGGTGAGCAGGCTTTGGAACTCCTCAGTGTGCGGCGGGAAGATGGAGAGGAAGAGATCAAGGAGGACGGCAGCGGGGCGATAGGCGAAGTTGGCGATGAGAGCGACAAAGGGGACGTGCGAGATGTAGACAGTGATGCACCGGTTGCAGTGGGCACAGGCTGGTGGGTGCAAGACCACACCAGCAAACTCCAATATCAAGTCCGCATCTGCCCTGCACCGGATGATTGGACGAGACTCTCCGCTCTGACGAGACGGCATGTGCCTCATGGGAGCTTCCTGCAAGCTACCCTCATGCACTGCCGCACTCCCGCTCTTGCCACCCTGCCTGCCATCAACCATGCCCAAACCGAAACATCTAGCACGGGAGTCCTCGGGAAATTTCACAGTAGCTTCGTCTCCTTCGGGCCACTCCTCCCACTCCGGAAGGCTGCTTCCATCCAAAGGCTCGAGAACAGTGCCGAACCTGACCAGCAGGCTCGGAAGATCCCGAAGCAGGTGGCGCATGGGCAGGACCTTGCCTTGTGGGCTGTCCTTGAAGCAGCTCTTACCGGAGATGAAATCTGAGCCGTGGATTCGAAGCCACTTCAAGATGTGAGCAACCCGATACGTAAGGAGATTAACAAGAGGGTCCGTGTTGAGCCCCTCACTGCTGCCGGTAGCACTGTTGCAGCCAAGAAAGTAGCCGGCTCTAGATGAGGCCACACCCGCACTGAAAGCAGAAACCCCTGTTGCGGGTGCTGCTGATGCTGTTGCTTCAGGTCTTCCACCTGATGCCCCTCCCTCGCTCACCCTTGTTGCCACCCCTCGCTTTCTGAGCCTCTTCCTGGCCTCCTCAATGCCAGCATCCTCCAAACTGCTGCCACTGCTCTGAGAGCCCGCAAAGAGCATCGCTCCCAGCCTGCGGTGCCCCGGCTTGGAGAATACAGATGCAACAGCCAGGGCGAAGTCAGTGGCACCCACGCCAATCACATACATGCCCTTGGGAACATCCTTTCCCTCCATTTTTCTGGAGCTGCTGCTGCTGTCGCTGTCCCCACTGCAACTGTTGTTGTTCTCGTTGTTGTTGCTGCTGATACTTCCCGCACTACAGTGGCTGCACCTGAACTCCCTCCCTTCCCCCCCTCCATGCTCCAGAATCCAAGCCATGCCATCCACGTACCTCTCCCACTCACGCCCCTTCAGATTCTTCTTCCAGTTCTCACCGTTCAGATCACCACCACCCATCCCTTCCTTTCCACTCCTCCTCCCACCACCGACCTCAGAAGGCAAAGCCATGCCCTTAGCCCCTGCAACATCACCGCCTAGCATCGCCCCCCGGCCTGCCAGGTCCAGTCCCAACTCATCCAGGTTTTGCAGCCATTCGTCCGGTGCTATGCCAGCCCCACTCTGCACGCTCTGCATCACAGCAGTCATTGCTTGCTCCATTTGCCCCAACTGTACCATCAGCCCCGCACTCGTCGGGCCCTTCTTCCTAGCCCCCCCACCCCCCTTCCCCTCCGACTTCTCACCAGTCATCCCCCGAGGCCCACCCTTTCCCCTCCCCACTGCATGCGCCTTCTCCAGCCCGCCTGACAGCACATGCCATCACAAAAATCCTGCGTCCGGAAAGCCGATGAAAAAAGTTGCTATGGAGCTTTGTCGAATGATTTGTGAACGTAGCATTTCGAACGCTTTTTTGAGAAAGTATAGTGCGCTTTCCAAATGCTTTGTCGAATGCTTTTCAAATGCTTCTGCAATGCTTCTCTGTTCAAACCTACCAGGTGAAAACCTTCGGAAGAAGTTTGGTTCGAGTTTCCGCTGAGCAATTTCGGAGATCGGATCTCATTGCAATGTACTTTTTATGGAATTACAGTTTCCTTAAAATAAGCTTAGATTGGAGACTTGCAAGCCTTTATATGTTGTTTAAAAATATGTTTAGTTGCCTTATCCTTGCATTCAAAATGAACATTACAGAATCCTTGGTAAAAGCAGATTATTCCCACCTAAAAATGCACATAAAACAGCATCCTAAACCCACCATGTCTAGTCAGTTAGGTTGATCTGCATCATCCTACTACCTGCTTCTCATGCTCCCATACACTATGTCTCCCACCGAACCCCATCTCTTGTGCTCTAGGCCGAGCGTGCCCCTGCGTCCACTGCTTCCTCGCATGTTCTGCCCTCTCATGCATCTGCTGCTCTGCCCCTGGCGCTCTCCAGTCATGCCTTTACTGCTGCTTGCTTTGTCCTCTCCAGTCGTGCCTAACCTGCTGCCCCCCTTGCGCCACTCCCGGCTTAATGCTGTCCCCCTTTCTCTATCCGCTCGTGCCTTGCCTGCTGTACCCCTAGCTCTCTCCACTCATGCCTTTCTGCTGCACCCCCTTGCACTATCCTCCAGTTGCCTCGCTGGTTGCCCCCCCTCGCTGGTTGCCCCCCCTTGCACTATCCTCCAGTTGTCTCTACTGCTGCCCCCCTGGCTGACTCCACTTTTTTGCCTCCCGTGCTGCCCCCCATGCTGACTCTACTCTTTTGCCTGGCGTGCTGCCCCCCTTGCTGTCTCCACCAACGCCTCTACATCCGTATTCATGTCTCCTCGCAAGTGTGTGATGCCTCTCCTGCTGCCCCCCTTTGAAAACTCCACTCATGCCTCATCTGCTGCCCCCCTTGTCTTATTGCCCCATCACTTGGCCCTCTTGCCTCCCCGTTTTTTGCCACTCTTGTGTCTTTTGCCCTTCCTCCGCTCCTGCCCCCCCCCCCCCCCTTCTCATCCTCATCCTCATCCGCTTCCTCCTCTTCCTCTTCTTCCTCCTCTTCCTCTTCCCTCCTGCTTCCCTTGCCTCTGCCTCTTTTGTGCTTTCTGCCCTTCCTCCGCTCCTGCCCCCCCTGATTCTCATCCTCCTGCTCCTCCTCCTCCTCCTCCTCCTCTTCCTCTTCCTCTTCCCTCCTGCCTCCCCTGATTTTCCCTCTCTTCTGCCTTCTGCCCTTCCTAAGCTCCCGCCCCCCCTGTTTCACATCCTCCTCCTCCTCTTCCTCCTCCTCATCCTCTTGCTCATCCCTCTTGCCTCCCCTGCTTTTGTATCTCTTGTGCCTTTTGCTCTTCCTCCGCTCCTGCCCCCACTGTTCCTCCTCCTCCTCCTCCTCCTCCTCCTCGTCCTCCTCCTCCTCCTCCTCCTCCTCCTCCTCCTCCTCCTCATCCTCCTCATCCTCCTCGTCATCCGTCTCCATGTCCTCCGCGTCGTACACCTCCTGCTCTTCCTCCAAGTCCTTCTTGTCTTCATCAGGCGCGGCCGTCCCCCGGAACGCCTCAAATCCTGACTAGTGAACATACAGCCCACGGTCGCCCCACTTGAAGCCCTGCACGTCTGTGTTGTACACGGGGGTGTGGCGTGTGAAGTGGTCCATGATAATCCACCGCACATTTCGGTGCAAATCCGTCATCCATTCAGTGTTTTTCCGGTGGGAGTTCGAGACGTTCCAGTCAGTCTTCTTAACCTTTGCCAAGCCCTGGTCAATCTGAAAAAGCATAGCAAAGTATGGGAAGGAGGGGAAACAGAGACTTCTGTGGAGACTCGCGTGTAGAGTTTACGGGCTGCACAAATAGCCCCACATACCATGTCGGTGGGCTAGAATAGCGTGCAAAGGTAGAGCATACTGACGGTTGAGCAATAATGTCTTACCACCATGATTGACCAGGCTATGTGGTAGGCTTTGACGCACACCCGGCGCCCGACACAGAGATTCCGAAATGATTCCCGGACCGCATCTACAAACCGGCCGTTGGCAAACGGGAGCCCTCCTCTGTTGTTCCCCCACGAGCTGACCCGCTGATTCCCTCCTGAGCGCACGCATGACAATGCGGGGAACGTGATCATGCATGACATGGTTAGGGGTTCTCAAAAGGGGATGGATGAAGGGGATGGCGGTATAGGATGAATGGAGGGCAGGGTTTGCAGGGAAGGGCGGGTCTGAAGGGGCGGGCAGGAGAGAAGGGGAGGGCAGGGGAGAGGGGGGGGGCGGGAGAGACGGGGAGGGCGGTAGAGAAGGGGAGGGCGGAAGAGAAAGGCAGGGCGGGAGAGATCGGGATGGCAGGAGAGAAGGGGAGAGCGGGAGATTAAAGGGGGGGCGGGAGAAGGGAAGAGTGGGAGAAGAACCAACGTAAAGCTGTCATGCGGATGTGACTGCACATGCGCTACAAGCTTGGGCAAGGAGAGCAGGTATGTAGTCGGGTGCCAAAGTGGGGATGCATTATGGGTAAGTAATACATCATCGTGGGGCATGCACGAGGGGTGCACGAGCAAACATGTCAATAGGGGAAGAAAAACAGAAACGCAAGTAAGTACTCACTCGGTTGGTATTTCTTCCACATCTTCTTCTTCTTCTTGGTGCCCATCCAGAGATCGGCTGCACGCAGGCCTTGGACCTTCTTGCCGAAAGTTACAAGCACTCTGCGCTTGAGGTGGAAGCCACGATCGTTCTTCCATGTCGTCCAAGCGCGTTTGAAGCCGTCGACGATGTTTTTGTCTTCCATAGCCTCTCGCAGCTGCGTCTTGTTGATGATGTGTGACTCGCTGATAACTTGATACAAAACCTCCAGACGTTGTTCGAGCGTTGGGTAGAAGTCTACGGCATTGTCTGGCCATTCTAGGCACATCCGGTCCCGCCCCACGGCGAAATGAACCTATGACGGACGGGTGGACAGGAGAAGAAAGTAGCAATGATGACTCCGAATGGAGGGCGGAATAAAACAGCTTTTGAGGTAGAGGGCTGTTGCTATCACTGCGCCGCATGCCACTCACACCACCACCAGCACTATGAACGGGAGCTCTGGTTGAGGTAGGGGAGTGATGGGAGAGAGAGGGGAGAGGGAGGGGCGGAAATAGTCAGAGAGGAATATGGGAGAGGGGGCAGAGTGTGAGAGCACCGTTCTCCCAGCGCCACCTCCCATGTTCTCCTCGTACTGGGAGCCTCAACTCCAGCTGCAGTCACCCCGCTGCACGCTGTGCCGCATGCCGCACGAGCGACCAGCAGCACCTTTTAGAAGGGCTCTGGAGGAGGAGCGGGAGGGATAGGATAGAGAGCCTGAGGGGGGGGGGGGGGGGGGAATGAAGGGGGGTCGCGTGGGATTGACAGAGAGGGCTGATGCTATTGCTGCGTCGCATGCCACCCACTCCACCTCCAGCACCGTGAGCAGGGGCTCTGGTGGAGGAACAGAAGAAGTGGGAGAGAGGGGAGAGAGAGGGGCGGAAAGGGACAGAGTGGAATATGGGAGAGGGGGCAGAGTGTGAGAGCACCGATCTCCCAGCGCCACCTCCCCTGTTCTCCTCGTACTGGGAGTCTCAACTCCTGCTGCAGTCACCCCGCTGCACGCTGCGCCGCATGCCACACTCGCGACCAGCAGCACCGTTTCTGCTAGGGCTCTGGAAGAGGAGGGATAGGGATGTGATAGAGAGTGGAGGGAGGAGCGGCAGAAAGAAGGGGGGGGGGCGGAAAGGGACAGAGTGGAATATGGGAGAGGGGGCAGAGTGTGAGAGCACCGTTCTCCCAGCGCCACCTCCTGAAGCTGGTCGTCCTGGGAGTGCCTATCCCACTGCTGCCATGCCGCTATCACTGCGCATAATGCCACCAAAATGCTGACCAGCATAAAGAGGTGGGGGAAACGAGGGGTTGAGAGAGAGGGCTTCAGCTATCACTCAGCCCCATGCCACCCATTTCTTAACACAACCCCATGGTCACCTTCAGCAGCTTGGGTCCGGGCATCCCACGCGTTCGACGGACCGGCACGTCTTCCGTCACAGGGCTTTCCAGCGCCACACCTGGATTGAGGCCCCCTGCAGATGGGCCGCTCGACATGGAAGCCAGAGGAGGAGGCCCGGACGGAGGGGTGCAGGGTTTAGCTGGTCCTTTGGATCCTGGCCTTGCCTTTAGTTCCGCAATTTCGTGGTCCCGCTGAGCAAGCTCTCGCAAGAGCTGCTCCACAGTCTTGCTGCCAGCCATATCGGGCCGACTGGATGCGCCAGGTGTACCCATGCTCTCTCCCCTCCCCTCCTTCATCGCCCCCTCCATTTCCGCGTCTCCTCCTTGTCCCCTGCTCTCCTGTACATCCCACGTGGAGCCTTCCACACCGCCGCCATATTCACCCAAGGCATTCGCCCACACACCTCCTCCCACACCGTCATTGGCTGCTGCAGCGGCCGAGGGTTCGTGCCGCTTCGTTGCCCCCTCGATTTTCACATGAACCGCGTGACCCCCCGTATGCTTCCCAGGTGGGTCCGTCGCTTCCCTGCCAAAACGCGAAGACCCCCAAGCCATCAGATCTCCCTTCCCAGCCAAATCCATTGGCTCACGTAACGCATCGTACGGGTCTACGGCTTTCCGATCATGAGAGCTTGATGGACCCCCGAGACCCATGGACTCATAAAATTCCAACGCCCGCTTCGCCTTGGGACGCACCCCCACAATTTTAGCACGGAATCGAGGTCTCTGGCTCTTGTTAGGTGGTTTGGCAGGACGCACAATATTTTTACGGCTCTTCAACCGTCTCCTTTCCGAATGTCGCCTGCCGTTGTCGTTCTTGTGCTTCCGCACACTCCTCCTCTTCACAGGCCGAGCCTCTTCCCCATCCTCGCTCTCCGGCTCCAACTCCTCATCCTCCTCCTCATCCTCCTCCTCCTCCTCCTCCTCCTCCTCCTCCTCCTCCTCCTCCTCCTCCTCCTCCTCCTCCTCCTCCTCCTCCTCCTCCGCCTCCTCGGCCTCGTATACCTCCTGACTTCCGGATGAGCTGCCTTACTCACTGTCGCTGGATCCCTCCTCCGAACCCGACGAGCTCGAAACATACTTTTCCGGGCCTTGTCGAGCTTGTCTCGCATTACGGTCGCGACCGCCCGAGTCCACAGCATTGCGTCGTTTGTAAGGAATCACAGCTTCACGTCCATGCTCTTTCCCATCGGCCCCTGCTGCAGGCTCGTCCTCATCCTGATCGATACCGCCACCGCCTCGCTGGTGTGCTATCCCTGCAGCGCAAGCAACTTTAGTGAGAGAATATAGGTGTCACTGCTATCACGACATGGTTGCTGGTGCACCAGGTAACAATATACAAGGACGGAGGCGGCGTAGGCTGTAAACCACAAAAGCAACGACAGATGGAGCCAGAAACCGCCTACCTTTGATGACGGGCTCGGGCAGCGCCTGCTCGTCGCCGCCAGCCACATCCTGAGAAAGCCTGCCCGAGGGACTGCCCTTTGCCGCCGCCGCCGCCTTGGTGCTGTTGCGCTTTCCACCACCACGCCCTTCAAGCTCGGCATGTTCCTGCTCGTCGTCGCCAGCCACATCCTGCGAAAGCCTGCCCGAGGGACTGCCCTTTGCCGCCGCCGCCGCCTTGGTGCTGTTGCGCTTTCCACCACCACGCCCTTCAATCTCGGCATGTTCCTGCTCGTCTCCGCCAGCCACATCCTGCGAAAGCCTGCTCGAGGGACTGCCCTTTGCCGCCACCGCCGCCTTGGTGCTGTTGCGCTTTCCACCACCACGCCCTTCAAGCTCGGCATGTTCCTGCTCATCGCCGCCAGCCACATCCTGCGAAAGCCTGCCCGAGGGACTGCCCTTTGCCGCCGCCGCCGCATTGATGTTGTTGCGCTTTCCACCACCACGCCCTTCAAGCTCGGCATGTTCCTGCACGTCGCCACCAGCCACATCCTCCGAGTGCCTGCCCGAGGAAACGCCCTTTGCCGCCGCCGCCTTGGTGCTGTTGCGCTTTCCACGACCACGCCCTTCAAGCTCGGCATGTTCCTGCTCGTCGCCACGCGCCAATGCCATTCCTTGGCTGCGTGATGGACTGCCAGGATCCTCCGCAACCTTCCCGCTACGGGTATAACTTCCACCGCGTTGGCCTGCTCGCCTGCCTGATGACCGAGCTGCGAAGGCGGACATCACAGGTACATGAGGAGTACTGTCCGTGTTAACCTTAGTGGCATGAAGTTGCAACAATATGTGCAGTCGTTGTACTTAGTAACGTGTAACTTTGAAACCGTCAATATTACACAGACACTAACCTTCTTTGACATGTCCATCATCCTCGACCTCCTCGTCGCCTTCCGACGCACCATTTTCCTCACGATGTGGAGGAGTGCCCCTCTTTCGTTGACGGCGCTTACGCCCCCTCCGGTTGTCACGCTTGTCCGCTGACACTTCTGCGGAATCACAATTGGAGAGACAGTAGAGGGAACAAGTCAGACACCACGGCAAACAGCAGTTAATGCATCAATCTGTGGTAATTTATTATACAAGTCGACCATTCAGTAGCTGCCACCAAAGACACTTACCTTTCTGGCCGGCTTTGGGAACGATATCATCAAAGTGCTTCACGCGCTTCTCCCTTGGTTTCGGAGGGGATGATACGCCCTTGTTTGCATATGGCTCAACAGGGGATGATTCGTTACCAGACGAGGTGTCACGTCCTGACTCAACCTCTTCTCGCGCCGACGACGCGTTATACTTGCGGTACTCGCCCACTATCTCGGCTGTCTTATCTGCTGTGATTAACTCCGTATTTTTTTTTCCTCTGGTGATTTGGACGAGTCCGCCAAAACAATCGCCCCATCGGGCCCCTTAATTGTCTGACTACCCATTGCGATGTCTAGGTTTCCATTCACGCAGTATGCTGAGGTGGTGAGTCGTTATAACGTTGGAACCTGACAGACCCGCTTCGAGCACTAAAAAACGGTTGACCTGAGAGAGGGACGAGTCTCAGATAGGGGCATGGAGCAGATGATTGTCCCACAAGCTGGCACGCAAGAGGAGCACGGAGGTGACGAGGGTTTGAGTGTTTCCTTGTCTGGTGCACCTTGTGCCATCCAGGTCGCCCGTTTCCCGCAACAACCAATCGCACGGTGGTTGACGTGTGGCAAAAATATTGTTGCTGCACTACTGGGGCGTGATCCAGTGGGAGATACTATTTTTTCAAGCAGCGTGAACTTGCGCGAGTGTATTAGGGCTTGGGAGAGATTTTTTATGCCCGCACTGACGTGATGTGGCTAATTTTCATGGACTTCGTCGACTTCGAAGCTTCGCACAACCGTCACGTCAAGAGTCACATAGCAACTCCGGAGAAACGGGGACGCAGGATAGGCGCAATTCTTACAGCGATGCGACCGGTCGACACGAAGCCGTTGTGGAACGTGTGCAATAAAAACGCAGACTCGGGAGTTAGATGTGAGTGGTTGCGATTGGGTCGCATGTCGGCGAGATCCGCGTATGCGGCAAAGTAATGAGGTGACTGTCGGAGAGATCCACGTAAGGACATTGATTTGCAAAGTTGCAATACAGTGGTGACGAACATGTTAAACATTACATTCAAAGGAATGTTGAGTTGTCCAATCCCTTTTGCATACTCACAAGTATGCGACAGACAGTGCATAACCAGACACATTCTTCACAGACCATGCAAAAAACAGTTTGAGGTAGAGCAGAGACCCTGTTCCTTTAATTGCTTTGTAAATAGGGTCAATGTAAATGATATATTGGTGTCACAACTAGACAGCAACCGGTATGTCATTTGTCGTGCGAAATTACCAGTGCCAGACACAAACTCCCCTTCTGGGGCTTGACTGCACGCGATGACATGCAGGGCAGCTATAAGCCAACCCTCTGGGAATACGGAAACGAATTTCAAGAGCCATACCCTAGTGAACGGATTCAATCGTCACACGATCTATAATATATTACAAAGTCGCTGTGTTTGCTGCTAACTCTGTCCTCCATATGTGCCTAAAAAAAGTATCTCGATGGTTAGTAGGATGCAGCTATTAGGAGGCATCACATTCTGGTGCGGATCTTTTTTTGCTTCGGACTCAGGGCGGGTCCAACTTTGTATACTCCCGTTTTTTTCGTATTTTTTACGTCAATGCACCCGTCAAATCTGACTGTACCCCAAGGCGCACTCCTAACATTTCTTGTCCAGTTCCGAGTGTACAGTTCGGACTTCTGACAAGGTACAACTACGCTGCGAAGTACAGTGCCTGGAATGAGGGGTTATCGAATATAGCGAGGTTTTTCGCACCTATAGAGGAGGGGGAATTCAATAGCGAAAAATAGTTTGCGAAAACGGGCGTTACTCTTTGACTTGTTTGACGCGAAACGGTTGGGAGACGAATTTACGGCGAGTCTTCGGACGTGTTCTGCACGTTCCGGGACACGTTTTCGAAATTGTACAGTTTTGCGTCAAATAGATTTTGTACGTTACACGTTCTGTTCTATGCCTAAATGTGGTAACAGTGCTGAAAATTTATTGTACATGTACAAAGTTGGACCCGCCCTCAGACTCTGCAAGGACCCGTCGCACCCAGCTGGTTTGGGCTAAGGTTCAGTTTGTTTGAAACGAACGACGTCTACGGAATTCAGCTCGCTAATTTCGTCGCGGTAGCCATGCATTTCGTCGACCGGAATTTGGTAACCAATTTCCAGCTATAATTTCCCCTGAGGCGATCTGCATCATACCTCTAGTCCGTGAAGCGCTGCACTGGATTTGTTTCGTACCCGTCCTTTACCAACCGTTGCTTCGTTGAGGACATGAAGTAACACGTCGTGAACCCCTAATCTGCGTTGCCTGCTTCCCCCACGTCAACATCTCCCCTCCGCGCCAGTGACTGATGTTGGTGCTCCCACCTTGTTCAAACCCTAACGGCTCATTTTTGCAACTCCTGTCTCCGCTTTTTTCGCAACCAAAGCTAGGAAGATCAAGTCCTAGGTTATCAGTTCTAGTCATCCCCCCGCCCTCTGCTACCGCCCATTGCGTGCTTTCCGTCGCGGCCATGATGTGCTTGGAATTGGCTTATACTAGCCGGGATATTGTTGTTGAGATGTCGTTACCAATATCAGAAAGTTGTGAGGCCTGGTTTGGGGTGTTTTAGATGAGCTCAGCTAGTTGGGGTTGAGTTCTGGCGAAATTTCGAGCAGACCATGTACGTGTGATGGGTTAGGCAGATTGACACCCACGATCGAGCACCACCGAGATGGGTTTCGTATGAGTGAATTCAGTCAGAACATTGAGGGCTGGTAATGCCCAGTCATCGAAGTATCGAGGTGCTTTGCCACACACGGGGGGTACAATGTGCGGCTGTGTGTGAACGATATACAGAGTATCTTGCGGATGGCCATTTGTCATCCAGCTCGCTGATGACCTGCCCGTGGCAGAGTGCGCGCGGTTACATTTCGATATGTTGCTCTGTTACTGGAAATCGCGATTGATTTTCGGGTGCTTGTAATGAATAAACAATTACACTGTTACCAACCAGGTTACAGCCCCTTGTGCTTTAATACGTGTCGCATTATTAATCCGCCAATAGACCAGATAGTTCTTGAAGTCGAGTGTATAGTGATTAAATATTTTCAGCAATACTGGAAACACCATAAAAGAATATCAAAGCCTACATTTAATAATATTATGCATGAACACGTTATTGCGTACTCGGTAATAAATCCAGAACTTCAACTAACAGCATCTGTTACAAGGCAACAATTCCAGTTAGCAGAATCTACAACCACCAATTTAACCAGATTATTTTAGCACCAGCTACACCAACCAGACTACAGTAGCACCAGCTACACCAACCGGACTACAGTAGCACAAGCTACACCAACCAAACTACAGTAGCACCACTACCTTCACTAGGACTCTTAAGGTGGGGTTCCATTAGGGAAAATCACCAACTCAAAACCCTCCACCAGGATCTTAATCCTAGGGCCCATGTTGAAGCCAGCAGGGGGCCTGGAGTCCCAGATTGCCACATCCCCGGCGTCATAGGTTGCCTTAATCCAGGCAGCAACCTGGTCGATCTTCTGCGCCACATTCTGGCGGTTCACTACCTCTGCAGTGTCAAGTGCCGGAGTCTGGCGCCCCCTTGCATTCACCAGGGGCCAGTCCACCTACAATTGCAACAGGCATACAAGGTTTAGTTATATTTCCTTTGAGACAAAAAAAAATCAAACACATAGAAACAACAGACACTGACCACGTAGCACACATAGCCCACAGTGGGGATCTTCACATGCAAAAAGGTTGCACGCTTGCTGCCAAGCCCACGAAGATGAGCCAGCTGGAAAGCGAGGTTCGCGTACGGGCGGTTTCTAGTCGCATCGAAATGCCAGTTAGCTCCAGGCCCATAGACAGTTGCAAGATTAAAGGAAAGGTCGTGAGGAAACAGCTAGTTAGAAATTACGAGAAACACATACAGCGCGCACGTAGCAGACACATAGCTAAACGAGGCGATGTTTAACTCACGATGTTCGTAAAAACGGCACCACTCCGTAGGGGTTCGCGAGATGGACGGTGCCACATTCTCTTCTGCGAGAATTTTCCACTTGCTCTCCGGAACGCACCCACCAGGACCTATGCCATAACTCTTGGCGTCAGCGTTGACATTCGACCGCCTCTCCGACACCTTCCGCATCGCTAGCGCCTCTTTGCTGGGATCGTTGCTGATGACGTAGTAGAAAACGTCTGATTGAACGCCCGCAACCTGGTACTTCATGCAGACGACCTCGCGGAACTCTGCCCATTCGGGGTAGAATTGCATGGACCGAGCCGGCGCATCCAACATAAGGTACGTCATGGCCTCGGTTGCCTTTCTCTGCGAAGAAACAGGGCAGAAAATAGGGTGAGAGATGTGAGAATGTTAGAAAATGGTGATACGCAATCAATAGTCTTGCGCATCCAAGATAGGAACTGCGATACAAGATAACACCCAGATGTGAACTTACCCCGAAATGATTGTCATGGCTAACGAGGGCTGGGATAATGAGTGCTCCGTTGGCGTCGCGGGGGATCCGCTCAATATTGAACGAGGGCGCAGACGGATGCACGGCACCGATGACTGCCGTACCCTGGGCGGCGGCCAGATCCTGCAGCAGCTGCTCGTTCAACCGGATGGCCTCAGCGCACCGCTGGTTGAGCGCTGCCAGCTCGGCGTCCGCTCCGAGAGTAGGTTCGACAAATCTCGCTCGCGCTCCTGCGTTCGCCTCAGAGTTGTACGCAGATCATCGATTTGACCTTGCAGACGGAAAGTCTCAACAGCGACTGCTTGCTCGGCCGGAACAACTGGCGGCGGGTAAGAAAGCATTACAAAAAAAAAAAAAAACATCGACCGTAACGACAGACACAAAACGCAAAAACACATGCGAAATTAAATAACAGAGGAAATCGTACCGCTGCGGTGGTTCACTGGGATTGCAAACCCCAACGGGGAGGCAATCACTCTGCCGGAAATCGTTGCGCCAGTTGCGTTATCAGCGGCTGTGGCGGTGATAGCGGAAGCGTCAGCACCTGCGGTAACCTCGTCCGCTGCAAGGGCCACCGATGGGGCCGAGACAGGCACAGGGTTGGTGACCGATGCAGCGACGCGTCCGGTAAGTTCCGTAGTCGCGGGTCCGCCAAGTGTTGACACAGCAGTGTTTGCAACGGCAGCAGTTGTTGCATTTGCTGTGAGAGGCGTAGGAACGATCGATGCGGCGGTAATAGCAGGTTCAGCGGTAGGTGCATCGGCCATCATAGTAGCATGCGTAGTTCCCGCCGCGGCGTCAGCAGCAACCTCACGACTGGGTAAGGTTGACGGGCCAGCAGTGTTGTCGCTGCTCTTGCTGTTCTTCTTCTTCTTCTTCTTCTTCTTCTTCTTCTTCTTCTTCTTCTTCTTCTTCTTCTTCTTCTTCTTCTTCTTCTTCTTCTTCTTCTTCTTCTTCTTCTTCTTCTTCTTCTTGCCCAGCTTCACACCTTGCTGTTTCAGTTGCTGCATGTACCCAAGTATTTCGTCCAGATTCGTGTCGTCATCGCTGTCACTTTCCTCAACAGGCCCATCCCGATTAAGAGTGACCCCATCTTCGTTGTCGTCCATCATGGCAGCGAACACCCGCTTGAGGAGCCTGAATCCGCTCATCTGTTGCTGTTTGTGAGGTCGAGATCTATCGCACCAGGCGAGTTTCCAGTCGTTTATGGCGGGATAATGCCTGTTTACCGGTGTGCAAACGCCAGCTGTGCTTCGCTTACGGTCAGAACTGCCTCGTGCGACAGTTGGGCAACATTTGCGACTGTTGGGCTAGATATGTCATACTCATTTTGGGCATACGGCGGGCAGTTGAATCTTACTTACATCTCCGACGTTGGTTGTGTAAACGGCATGCACACGCCCGCACCAGGGTTTGGTCCAACTCAAGCAATTTCTTTCAAGGGCAGGGTATCTGAACAACTTGCACAAGAGTGGGTGGCGCACTAATGTCGGGCGCGCTTTGGCAAGCGCAACACCACGCGCCGCTGCCAGCGCACATTCCATGTTTTGGCGAGCGCGACTAATCGCGCCGCTGCGGCGTGGCAACTTTTTTGCTGACACGTATGTTCTTCATGGACGGTTGCAAATATACAATCGAGAAAAACCGTAATGTGTGACTGGGGGATGCAAATAACATTAGTTAAAAACGGTGCTAGAAACATAACGAACATAATCCTATTAAAAAATAAACCTATTAACCAGCCATAATTGGTCGTTCGCATCGGGTTGTACCAGGTCCACAGCACGCACTATACTATCCACGCTTATGACTTGGTACCGTTGGTGCTGCAAGTCCCAACGCAACTGCGCACATTTCGTGGCGGCATCTTTATCCGGTAGCAAGCGAAAATATTTTACGTATGCGTATGGCTTCAGCTCCGTGCCGTCTCTGATCTGGAATATCATCAGAGTTTTTGCGTACCACTCTTCATGAATGCCATCAACCAAGGGACCTCGCACAGCAATGTCAGAGTACCATGGACGTCCATAGAAGTTGGCAACGGCGGGCACCCGATGAGGCAGCCGTCCAAATTCAGCATCCAGCGCGGAGGGCATCGCGAGCTCGTTGTGAACCTGCAGGTCAAAAAATTGACTTTCCATAACCAGTTAGTTTTATTGTTCGGTGATTATAAATGAGTACTTGGTACCATGCAGTACTCCACCGTACTGTACACTCGTCATGATCGCAGATAATTTCATGCGATGGAGCGTCAGGGTGTTGAAACCCATCGTCAAACAATAGGCCAGAAACGAATCGGAATGTAGCGAAAAATCAGAAGCAGGCCAAAATCGTGGAGCCATCTACAATCGCGGCGCCCACCTGAATGACGTGGATGCTGCTCCCGTTGCAGCCAGGTGCAGCATCCAAGGCTCGTCGCAGGTGCTGCAGGTCGCCGCCCAGCTGCGTGTTGAAGGTGGCGTCGCGCCTTGCATCTGGCGCCACAGGTTCCACGAAGGGCGGGGTGGTTCGCCTCGGCAGGACCGCCAACTTCCAGCTGGAACGCGACACAATTCGCGTTCCAGTAGAGATGGCCTGGAACACGTACGGAACAAAAAAGAAGAAACAAAAGTAATCATATAATAGTAATTCGAAAAATCACTTAGTTAAATGAGGATGGGAAGGTACTAATGATCATAATAGAGACTTACCCGAAGTAGTGCAGTGTCGTACCGCTTCCTCTTGCCAAGCTGCGGCGCAAGTCCTTGCAACCGCAGCCTGTTCACCTCGGCGTTCATAACTTGTGCAGTGGCGTTGCGCTTGTTTGAAGCACGATAAGGGTTCTTCACATACTCTATGTGAAGATGCTCAAATAATTGAGCGCACCAATGCTCCGGAAGTCCAGTTCGTCGGATAGCGTCGATGTAGTGGCTGACCAGATGCACCTTGATGATGTTCCACTTGGATTTCTGCGCAAACGCCTCAAGTCCTCGAAGCATCCTGTGGTACACACGAAATTGTTGCATTTAGTGGATTAAACGTATAGAAGTCAGGATGTAATGTTCAACAAAGGAATGAGAAACTTACTTGCTCGCCAACAGCTTCAGTTCGCGTAAACTTTCCACGGTATGCTCGGTGACGCGTGCACAGTAGGTATACCACTCAATGTAAGTGATGATTCATTGGATATGCTCATCACTTGCATATCCCTTCACTAAGAAGGGGAGAATCTGCATCACACTATGATGCTCATATGCCTGGTACGACGCACCATTTGTAAAGTATGAACCCGAAGGGAGTCTAAGGTGCGGGTTCCGGTTGATGGCTTTGTAAAATTTCAAACGCTTATCCAAAACCTCCGTTTGAGTATCCGTGCATTGAGCGCGAATGGCATCAATGAAATATTCTAGGATGCCTAAATCAGCTTGGTGCATAATGTCCGGCATAAGGCATAGATATGGATTTAGTAGGACATGAGACTCAAAACGCCAACCCCAGAGGAAAGACTTCACAGGGTGTGTTGAGAGCTCCATGTTCTCACCCGTAGGTAACATACGTCGTTGCAAGAGTGCAACGATTTTCTTTTGCATGACAGGCAATCGAGGTTTAGGGTGATCAATCAAATCCTTCATGTTGTCCTTATACACGGTGCAAATCGAGCAAGGATGGCTTGTGTTCCACCCTTGCTTGGTGCACGACACCTTGCATGTCTCAGGATAGTCGGCAACATACGCATAGAGATCGGGCCAAGCATTGTAAGACGCACCGGACTCGTCCGCAATAGGAATGCCATGGTGAGAGGCCTTGATCAAAGGCTCTAGTACGGTACGCATCACATGTTGGTAAATGAAAAGCTTGTCATCGGAATTATATTCCGAAGGATACTCGGGCAAAAGAGCGAGTAACACATGACCAAACGGTTTCCATCGATCATCTTTATCAATGTTGGCCAAGGTAAGATATACCGGATGGCCTTTGGCTTTCCCTCGGTGGTCCAAATGCGTCTCATCACTTGCTAGGATAAGTGCACACACCACCCCATTAGGATCTTCTTTTCTTATCTCCTCATGGAGAGCATGCCACCAATCTCCCGTCTCAGGAGTGGAGTATACATGCGACCCATTTGGGTCACGAGGGGTGGGGTGCAAGACAAGTTTAGGAGCCACCTTAGGGTGTGTCAAGAGATCCTTGATGCATTGAATGCCATCACAGAAAAAAATACTCTATCATAGGCTTACCCGCAAGACGCACCTTCGCCCTTTTACAATTTCGATGTGCATCGGGTGCGTGTTCGTTGGCGTACTTCTCAACGTCTCTGAAGTTTTGGAGCTCTCGCAATTGCTCGAGGGATGCGTTGTGATGGTTAAAAATCTGCAACAACTCATCCACTCTTTTGCGGGAAACACCACACGTAAGCAACCAATGGACAAATGCGTCTAAAAAAACAAAAGGTGGGCTCTCATCACCCTCATTTGTGTCGTCCTCGGCCTCGGCATCCGTATGAGCGGAGGTGGCGTCATCGGGCAACACATCCGGCGCTGAATCCACGCTATTTGAGGGAGTGGGGGCTGGGTGGAACGAGTCAGGCACCATATTATCATGTGTACCTGTGGATCCGTCAATGCCTTGGAGAGGCTCTGGATCTACTGTGGCGTGTGGCTGAGAGGGAGTGGAGGGACTGGGCGATGGATTGTTGGGGGTGGGCGAGGAGATGGAGAGGGAGGGTGATGGCATGGTGGCGGCATTCTGTCGACTCATGATGAATGGGCTGCCAGTACTCGCCGCAACTGCGTGACGCGAATTCCTGGGGCAACGTCCGCCATTACGATGGTTGGTTAAGTTGCCCCTTGTAGTGAAGCCCACGGCAGGGCATCGGGGCAGCTGTACACCATTGCCCTGTATGGTTGGAAAGAAGAAAAGTGTGGAAGAGAGGGAAGGAGGGGGCGGATATTGAGAATGCGGGGCAGGGAAGAGGGATGTGGCGCAGGAGGAGGGATGTGGGGCAGGGAAGAGGGATGTGGGGCAGTGAAGAGGGATGTGGGGCAGGGAAGACGGTGGGGCAGGGAGTAAGGTCGTGGGGCAGCAAAACGTGACGGCGTGCAAAGATAGTGGGGGAGGGGAGGTAAGAGAGGAGGGGAGAGGGAATGAGGTGCAGGGAGAGGGAATGAGGTGCAGGGAGAGGGAATGAGGTGCAGGGAGAGGGAATGAGGTGCAGGGAGAGGGAGTGAGGTGCAGGGAGAGTGAATGCGGTGCAGGGAGAGTGAATGAGGTGCAGGGAGAGGGAATGAGGTGCAGGGAGAGGGAATGAGGTGCAGGGAGAGTGAATGAGGTGCAGGGAGAGTGAATGAGGTGCAGGGACATGCATTTCTGACGGAACCAGAAACTCGTAGAGATAATACACCTGTCCTCCGGTATTTCCACACCCTTTATCTTCACGTCCTGGGGTACCTACTCTCGAAAAAAACTAATTTCGAAGGTAGTTAGCAACGCTCGAAGAAATATCGGGATCATCTGACACGATCCCAATGCGAGCTTAACGGAGGAACAATCTGACACTGGAATTTTTCCCGCTCATTCGGATAACAAAGTTCGAGTTTCTTGAGGACGGTACCTGATGGTTAGTTCCTGATAGACCCGCAATGTCAGGGCGTCCGTCTCCACGAACCTCAAACCATATAGGGGAAAATTGAAAGTTCAGGGTGTGGAAATATCGGAGAACAGGTGTATTGGGGAGTCGAGTTGGATGTATTTATTAATAGCCATTTCCTCGAGTATTGCCTAGCTTCTGAAGGCGTCTCTTTCTACCCGCAATCTCCTCGAGTTGTGTTTGTTTCTTTCGCTCATGGCGTTAGAGGTCAGTTTCAGAATCCCTGCTGATCTGATCCGACGCGGATCAGACGACAATCGAACTGACGACAATAGCAGAGGGGGTTGCACCAGCGCTGCTGAAGTCATCAGCCATGGTGACGTAGTAATCAGCCGGAATAACGTCATCCGAAGAAACCACGAAACCTCGTCTGAGAATGAGTTTTTCGGAGCCTCCCACGATGTCGCCCTGACAGTTTCTCCTACGGAGCTTCTTAGGTCTGTATTCAACAGACCGTTTCAGACACATCTGCCAAACTGCTGCTTACCATGCGACACACGTCAGCAGCCGGGAGCATCCGTTGGGGTGAAAGTTCTTGTTCGGACGGAGCAGCAGCAGCAGCAGCAGCAGCACGACCGCTTCATGATGTTTGGGCAGGTAGCGTACCTTTCTCCTCAGGCAACTGAACAGCGAGCCAAGCTTAAAACGGGTACAACCATCTTAGTGCTCCCCGTGAAAGCAGTCGATCATGGAGAAGGCTCGGGTGAGGTTGGATTAGCAGGCGTTGTAGCAGGTTTGAATGGTCCATCTGCGCAGCATTCGGTTGACGTGCCTCAAGATGCTGCTACTGCTACTACTGTTCCTGCTGCTGCTGCTCCTGCTGATGCTGCTGCTCCTGCTCCTGCTGATACTACTGGTACACATTTTGAAGCTAACGCTGCTTCACCAGCTGCAGTTGCGTGCCCTATTGTTGCTGCAATCGTGACAGCCTGTGCTGTTGCTGCTGTGGCAGCACCTGCTGCTGTTCCCGCACGCCGAACCGACTACAGCAAATGCGACCATTCGCATTTCAGCAGAAATGAGGAAGAGGAGAAGGAGGAGGGGGCGAAGCGGAAGAAACAAGGAAAAAAGGGAGGTAGTAACAATGGTGAGGGGAAGGGCAAGACCCAGATTTCTGCTGCTGGCGCTGCTGCCAGTGCCAACACTTGAGTTCCTCAGCTTGTTGGAACAATATGGGACGAGCTGACACTTCACTACCCTCAAGAGTTGACATGGGAATCCCAGAATGAGCCGATGATGGAAGAGCGGAAAGGAGTGGGGCCAGAGACTTCAAGAGCTGAGGAAGAATCAGAGGAGCTTAAGTTGCTGTGTCGGGCCACAACGACACCGCGCCCGTCATTGTGGACATCGTCGACTCGAAAACCGCCAAGAAAACAAGAGATTACCTCGCGGGTCTCATCGGGAACTCAATCTCCAAAGTGGGGAAGGACCTCGTGGTCCAGGTCATCATGGACAACGCGTCTAACAACCGATCCGCGGCTAAGAAGCTTAAGGTGGAATTTCCCTCGGTTTTTTTCGCCAACTGCGCCGCCCACTGCTTGGATCTTGGTCCAACTCACCCCACTAGGCCAGTCGGATCCTTGGTCCAACTCACCCCACTAGGCCAGTTGGGTCCTTGGTCCAACTCACCCCACTGGGCCAGTTGGGTCCTTGGTCCAACTCACCTCACTAGGCCAGTTGGGTCCTCGGTCCAACTCACCCCGCTAGGCCAGTTGGGTCCTTGGTCCAACTCACCCCACTAGGTCAGTTGGGTCCTCGGTCCAACTCACCCCACTAGGCCAGTTGGGTCCTTGGTCCAACTCACCCCACTGGGCCAGTTGGGTCCTTGGTCCAACTCACCCCACTAGGCCAGTTGGGTCCTCGGTCCAACTCACCCCGCTAGGCCAGTTGGGTCCTTGGTCCAACTCACCCCACTAGGTCAGTTGGGTCCTCGGTCCAACTCACCCCACTAGGCCAGTTGGGTCCTTGGTCCAACTCACCCCGCTAGGCCAGTTGGGTCCTTGGTCCAACTCACCCTACTAGGCCAATAAGTTGGGTCCTTGGTCCAACTCACCCCACTAGGCCAGTTGGGTCCTTGGTCCAACTCACCCCGCAAGGCCAGTTGGGTCCTTGGTCCAACTCACCCCACTAGGCCAGTTGGGTCCTTGGTCCAACTCACCCCGCTAGGCTAGTTGGGTCCTTGGTCCAACTCACCCCACTAGGCCAGTTGGGTCCTTGGTCCAACTCACCCCACTAGGCCAGTTGGGTCCTTGGTCCAACTCACCTCACTAGGCCAGTTGGGTCCTTGGTCCAACTCACCCCGCTAGACCAGTTGGGTCCTTGGTCCAACTCACCCCACTAGGCCAGTTGGGTCCTAGGTCCAACTCACCCCACTAGGCCAGTTGGGTCCTTGGTCCAACTCACCCCACTAGGCCAGTTGGGTCCTTGGTCCAACTCACCCCGCTAGACCAGTTGGGTCCTTGGTCCAACTCACCCCACTAGGCCAGTTGGGTCCTTGGTCCAACTCACCCCACTAGGCCAGTTGTGTCCTTGGTCCAACTCACCCCACTAGGCCAGTGGGTCCTTGGTCCAACTCACCCCACTAGGCCAGTTGGGTCCTTGGTCCAACTCACCCCGCTAGACCAGTTGGGTCCTTGGTCCAACTCATCCCACTAGGCCAGTTTGGTCCTTGGTCCAACTCACCCCACTAGGCCAGTTGGGTCCTTGGTCCAACTCACCCCACTAGGCTAGTTGGGTCCTAGGTCCAACTCAAGCCACTAGGCCAGTCGGATCCTTGGTCCAATTCACCCCACTAGCCCAGTTGGGTCCTTGGTCCAACTCACCCCACTGGGCCAGTTGGGTCCTTGGTCCAACTCACCCCACTAGGCTAGTTGGGTCCTTGGTCCAACTCACCCCACTGGGCCAGTTGGGTCCTAGGTCCAACTCACCCCACTAGGCCAGTCGGATCCTTGGTCCAACTCACCCCACTGGGCCAGTTGGGTCCTTGGTCCAACTCACCCCACTAGGCCAGTTGGGTCCTAGGTCCAACTCACCCCACTAGGCCAGTCGGATCCTTGGTCCAACTCATCCCACTAGGTCAGTTGGGTCCTTGGTCCAACTCACCCCACTAGGCCAGTTGGGTCCTTGGTCCAACTCAACCCACTAGGCCAGTTGGGTCCTTGGTCCAACTCACCCCACTAGGCCAATTGGGTCCTTGGTCCAACTCAACCCACAAGGTCAGTTGGGTCCTTGGTCCAACTCACCCCACTAGGCCAGTTGGGTCCTTGGTCCAACTCACCTCACTAGGCCAGTTGGGTCCTTGGTCCAACTCACCCCGCTAGACCAGTTGGGTCCTTGGTCCAACTCACCCCACTAGGCCAGTTGGGTCCTAGGTCCAACTCACCCCACTAGGCCAGTTGGGTCCTAGGTCCAACTCACCCCACTAGGCCAGTCGGATCCTTGGTCCAACTCATCCCACTAGGCCAGTTGGGTCCTTGGTCCAACTCACCCCACTAGGCCAGTTGGGTCCTTGGTCCAACTCACCCCGCAAGGCCAGTTGGGTCCTTGGTCCAACTCACCCCACTAGGCCAGTTGGGTCCTTGGTCCAACTCACCTTGCTAGGCTAGTTGGGTCCTTGGTCCAACTCACCCCACTAGGCCAGTTGGGTCCTTGGTCCAACTCACCCCACTAGGCCAGTTGGGTCCTTGGTCCAACTCACCTCACTAGGCCAGTTGGGTCCTTGGTCCAACTCACCCCGCTAGACCAGTTGGGTCCTTGGTCCAACTCACCCCACTAGGCCAGTTGGGTCCTAGGTCCAACTCACCCCACTAGGCCAGTTGGGTCCTTGGTCCAACTCACCCCACTAGGCCAGTTGGGTCCTTGGTCCAACTCACCCCGCTAGACCAGTTGGGTCCTTGGTCCAACTCACCCCACTAGGCCAGTTGGGTCCTTGGTCCAACTCACCCCACTAGGCCAGTTGTGTCCTTGGTCCAACTCACCCCACTAGGCCAGTGGGTCCTTGGTCCAACTCACCCCACTAGGCCAGTTGGGTCCTTGGTCCAACTCACCCCGCTAGACCAGTTGGGTCCTTGGTCCAACTCATCCCACTAGGCCAGTTTGGTCCTTGGTCCAACTCACCCCACTAGGCCAGTTGGGTCCTTGGTCCAACTCACCCCACTAGGCTAGTTGGGTCCTAGGTCCAACTCAAGCCACTAGGCCAGTCGGATCCTTGGTCCAATTCACCCCACTAGCCCAGTTGGGTCCTTGGTCCAACTCACCCCACTGGGCCAGTTGGGTCCTTGGTCCAACTCACCCCACTAGGCTAGTTGGGTCCTTGGTCCAACTCACCCCACTGGGCCAGTTGGGTCCTAGGTCCAACTCACCCCACTAGGCCAGTCGGATCCTTGGTCCAACTCACCCCACTGGGCCAGTTGGGTCCTTGGTCCAACTCACCCCACTAGGCCAGTTGGGTCCTAGGTCCAACTCACCCCACTAGGCCAGTCGGATCCTTGGTCCAACTCATCCCACTAGGTCAGTTGGGTCCTTGGTCCAACTCACCCCACTAGGCCAGTTGGGTCCTTGGTCCAACTCAACCCACTAGGCCAGTTGGGTCCTTGGTCCAACTCACCCCACTAGGCCAATTGGGTCCTTGGTCCAACTCAACCCACAAGGCCAGTTGGGTCCTTGGTCCAACTCACCCCACTAGGCCAGTTGGGTCCTTGGTCCAACTCACCCCACTA